GTTCAACGAATTTATTTCTTTTTCTGTCGCTGTCCCTGTTTGAAAAGAGAAATGCACATTGATGGTTCCAATGGTGGTCAAAGAAGGTAATGACGTGTTGAAAGTCTTTTGCTTTCGTTGGCCAAAAAAAAAAAAAGACAAAATGAAAAAAAAAAAAGAAAAGAAAGTGTTTTGCTTTCACAAAAGCCACGAGTTCTTCTGTACACGGCTTGCCGTGGCCTTATAATTTAAAATAAAAAAAGCCAACGAGTTTGAATTCAAACACCTTTAAGTTTATTCACACGAAACAACAAAAGACGGTGATGATGTGGAAGTGGGGAGAAAGGCATGGAAGAGAGAAGGGACAAAATAAGTAAATGGTGATCAAATTCATGATGCTTAACAGTCAAGGTTAATTATTTTAACAAGCAAGGGTAACATTATTCCATTTTTATAATTTTAAGGAAAACATTATTCCACTTAAAATTTAGAATATTGGGTGCACATTTGTGAATAGGTGAAGGGTAAAAATGCCATTTAATCATATTTAAATGGTTTGGAATCTTTTAAAACCGTGAAGAGAAGCTTTGGGACCAAAATCTTCCAATGCCGTGGTCCATTTGATTACTAACCTCAATTCTTTATGAAAAAGACCAAAGGATCTCCAGATTGTTAAGCATGTTTGATTCTAACATTTATGGAGTAATCATCCTTGAAAATAAGGATTCTCATCTCTCTGGTTTTAAAGTCTGAACCGTAATCAAGCAATGTTCTTATACCATGCCTTTTACCTTTGCTGTTTATAATATAATTAATAACATTTTTAGACTTGTTGTATTTTGGTGAATGTTTTCTTAATAGAACCATACTCAATTTGCCTTATACTCCCTCCAATTTTATTTATAAATTATTTTTATCAACATTATTAATATTAATATAATACAAGTACAAAGAATAAAATTTAGTAAAATTTAAAATATAATCCTCAAAAAATAAATGAACTATATAATATTATTTTTTCGTCTCTTTTTTTTTACTTTTTATGAATAATTTAGATATTTTATTTGAAATTAAATATCACTATCAATATAATGACTTTTAAAGTACTTTATTCTTCTAAAAGGTGTCCAGTAAAATAAACTGAAGTGAGTACATAGTTTTAGTGAAAGTATTTCACCCATGACTTCAGTGACTTATAGCCATGGCTATGGTAAATTTTGCATATAAGGGTGCTAATTAAATAGGGAAAATGAGGGAAAAGTTTTCTAAAGTATACAAATGAAAATAAGGTCCTCCAAAATATATGATAACTCTTCTCAAGTTCCTTGAACCTTTTGATATTAATGTTTTTTGTGAAATGATGATAATGACTCTAATTTCAAATATTAATAACTACTTTAATTTAAATAATAATTACTTTTTTTACTGGCAATAACTAAAATGAGATAGCAAATAATAAGTTTTGCTATGCAAAATTTTAATAACTGAAGTCTTCATATTGTAAATATTAGTAATAATAGTGGTTTAAATAATAACTATTTTTTTTCTAAAAATGACTAATATGTTATAGCAAATGACAAGTTTTATTTTGCAAATTTTTTTAATCATTATTTCGTTTCTTTTTTATTTTAAATTGAAAGCAATATAGTCATTTCACAAGGAACATTAATGTTAGAAAGGTTCTAAAGGATTTGGGAAGGATTATTACAATTTATGGGGATTTCATTATTATTTACATATTTCAAAGGGTCTATTATTTTCCTAATTAAATATGTCTAAGCATCAAAATATTTTAAAAAAAAAGGAGAAGAAGAAACCTAGAGAGCATGGTTCCTGTGTAAATTTTAAGGTTTCATTTTTTATATATAAAAGTTAATAAACATCATAATATAAAACGGTACATTTGGTTTTTGATAAGCAACTGAACACCACTTCTATCACAATTAGATATTTATTTCTCTCCATCTATTTTGAAATTTTATTTACATTTCACTAAACTCATGTCACACACTGTCATTTAAACTCATCTAAAGTATTTGTTTATGATTTTTGTTTTGGTAAAAAAGTATTTGTTTATGGTTGGAATCTCATATTCTCACATGAGACAAAAACATTAAATGCTAAAGAAAATTTAAAATATCATTGCAGGTTCAAAGTTGTTGATTAAAATTAAAGAAAAAATATAATCGTTGGTTCCTATTATTTTATTAAATTTTATTTTTAGTCTTTATAATTTATTTTTAACATTTTTAATCTTACAGTTCTTGTAATTTAATATCGTTAGAGATTCGAAGAATAAATGTAAACCAATCTTGCTAAACTATAGGATTTAAAATATTAAAAAAATATATGGACTAAAAACAAAACTCTATGTAACTATAGAGATCAATAATTGTGTTTTCTCGTAATTAAATAATACACCTTAAAAAAGGGAGAAAAAGAGTTAAAAAATCAATCTTAAATTAGAGCATGCCTTTAATAATGGATGGGGGTCGTTTTTGAGTGCACATAGTGAGGTGACTGTTTTTCTTCTCTTAGAATGAAATTTGAAAATGTATTTGAGATGAGATAAATTTGGAGCTTTTGAATCTAAAAGTGAGAATTGGGATATTTAATGGGAGAATTGATTTTTTGAAAAAATTGTATTTAAATATAAATTTTGTTAGAACAGTTAATTTTTACTAAACTATTTTTTTTGTCAAATAAACTTTTAATAAATTAATTTTTGGTCTATGAAAAATCAAAAGAGCAAATCATTCATCAACTAAACCAATCAATGCCATGCAACTGCCCTTTTTTACTTTTTAAGAAGAAGCAGGCCATCCATTTTCTATTTGGGGAAAAACAGAGGAAGGGGAAGGATGATTATTACAAAGCACTACACAAAAAATAAAAATACGATAAAATCTTATAAAATGTTAAAATAACCTTAAAGTCTCACATCTCTCTAATTTAACAATGTTTTTATACTTAATTACCAAAATATCTTGACATGATTATATATTAAAAAAGCTCAACTTTCTACCATTGAAACTGTTGTCAGAGCCTCAGCGGTGAATATTAAAAAAGCCCAACCGTCCATCGCTAGCTGATGGAGTTCTAGTGATTGTGGCTCGCTGTGGGGGTTAGGTTTTTTTTTTTTTAATATTCCATTAGTCTTGAATTATAAGATAATTTATAATAAGATTATATATATCAATAAAGTTTAATAATAATATTTTATAATTTTATTTTTTTAAAAAATATAAATTTTTAAAAATGTCATTCCTTTAATACAACTTTAAATTTAGGAGGAAAATAATTATTTATTTTTATAATTTTATCGTGTTTTGTTATTAATTTTTATACTTTTTTTAATGTTCATGTTTCTATAATTTTTTTCATCTATAATGTTAATCTCTTTATTTTTAAAATGTGCCTAAAAGGATGATGATGCAGTATTAAAATGGTGTTAAATTAGAGTATTTAATGCATAAAGTAAAATACCTGACTCTTGTATCCAATAAAAAAAAATGATTGACTTGTAATGGCTGGAAATTACTTTTTGACATTGGCAAGTTATCATAATATTCTTTATCAAAAAGCAATCATCCCTTCTTGTAACCTCATGCTAATTTAAATTATCAATTCATTGTGTTATAAACATATTAGCATTCTTACTAACATTGTTAATTACACATAAGATAATTTAACATTGTTATTGATATCACATTATTATCTTTCTACACATATTTAAAAATAGAAGGGCTAATGTTATATATAGGAAAAACTAAATAAACTTGAAAAATTTTAAAAAGTATAGGGATCAATAATAAAACATGATAAAATTAAAGGGATCAATAGTTATGTTTTCCTTTAAATTTATATATTTAATCATTATATTATAATTATTTCAATTCTCTTTCTACTTAAAGGTTAATATTAAAAAAATATTATTAATGAAAAATTATTTTTTGTTAAATTGTCTTATATATTATGTGACAATAAAATACCTTTAAAGTTATCTCAAATCTAAATATTCTCTTCAAATATAAATATAAGACAAAGTTAACAAATCTCACACTTATTAAGAAATGTTAATTATGACCTTGAAATTGTAAACAAACATATAACTTTTCAATTTTAATCTTTGATTATAATAAAAAAATTATTTAGGAATTTCAGTCACAGTAAATATATAGAAGTTGGCTTCTCTCCTCCCATCACTTATTAAATTTGGATTGTTTAGTTAAATATTTTAATTTTAATTTTATATTTATTAAAATAAAAAAATAATTTTTTTATTAAATATAATCAGTAATTTGAATAGTCCAAATTTAATATAAAATTTTTTAATATAGATAATCTAAATCCTAATTTAATATAGGTGATTTAAATTTAATTTGATTTTTTTATAATTTTAATATTAAATTTAAATTATTCAAAAATATATTTAAATAGTCAATTTATAAAAATTTTAAAAAAATAAATTTAATTATCAGTTTGAGCAGTGCAAATTTAATGTAAACAATTTAAATTTAATATATTTTTTTATAATTTTAATATTAAATTTAACTGTCAAAATTATAATTGAATAGTTAATTTATTAAAATTATAAAAAATTTAATATTAAATTTAAAATATTTATATTAAATATCAATGATACAAATTAATGACGCAACATATTTATTAACAGGTTTTATAATTTTCAATAAATATAAAAAATAAAAATATTTAATATAGACTGTCATATTTAATAGAAAGGTTTGGAGGGAATGAGGAGGAAGCGAAGTTCAAATGCACTACGATTCACTGTGTATTTTCAGACGAAAGATCTCTTCGGAATTAGGTGATTCTTGCGTCTCTCCGACAAAATCTAAACGATTCACTGGAGTCTTCAGGTTCATATGGCGATGGGTCAACTTTTATGGGCGATGGCCTTTCGCTCTACTCGTCCCGCTAACGCACTCCCTGACGTCGTCATCGCAGAACCTCCCTCGCTCGGAGGTGGTGGAGCCTCCATTGATTCTGCCTTTGTAAGTGACTTCCAGTTTATATATATATGGCAATTACTCGTTGATTCTTTTCATTTATAGCAACTGAGAATCTCGTGTTGTGCAAAAATGACTTCTGGAGCTCCGAACATTCCTCTTCTTACGCCCTACAAGTTGGGAAAATTCAATCTATCCCATAGGTACCCGCACTCCCTCGAATTTCTTCTGTTTTTGTTTTTTTTTATCGTTTTCTCTCTCAATTTTTCTGCCGTAATTTCACGGGGATCAGGTGTTTGTCAGAAATCCAAGCTCATGATGTGTATTTAACTTGAAAATCACACATTTTGAAGTTTGTTCGACAACTTTTGCGGGAGATGATATTTCGATCATTTTGATTCTTTAGTTCTTAAGTTCTCCTCCTTAATTGTGTGCTAGGAAAAGTCACTTGCATCTACGATTGATGTAGTAGAATAGGGAAAGTTTATTTCCGTTACTTTAAGTATCAGTGTCAGTTGAATATTTTGTGACTTCTTAATTCAAAATTGGTTCACTTTTGCTCTACAGAGTTGTTTTGGCACCATTGACTAGACAGAGATCTTACAACAATGTTCCTCAGCCTCATGCTATCCTATATTACTCTCAGAGAACGACCAAGGGGGTTCTTCTGATAGCTGAAGCTACTGGTGTTTCTGACACTGCTCAAGGGTAATTTGTGCACTTGATTATTCCTTATGTTAACTTTGTCTCATTTTGCTAGGATGTTTCACAAAATATGTTTCATTTTTTGTTTTCTCTCCTATGTGAAGCTATGTTGATACACCTGGAATATGGACAAAAGAACAGGTGCAAGCATGGAAACCCATTGTGGATGCTGTTCATGCCAAAGGTGGGATATTTTTTTGTCAGATCTGGCACGTGGGAAGGGTTTCAAATTCAGGTATGCGTTTTTGGCTGAGTTTGTCTTCTATCTGAGAACAATAGCTAGAAAATATCCTTTCTTTTCTATTGAGTGAACAAGAGATTTAGCATACTTCCGTAGATTATCACTTTAAATGGCCTAAAACATACTATATGTCAATTTGAGCAAGCATTTTTCTGTTGTATTTTTTTCCTTTTTGTTTTGTCTGTGTCCGTTGCATCAATAGGTTTGTTATGAATGAATGAGTTAAAGAATTTTGAGCAATACATTCTTGGGAATTGGGAAATTATTTTTGAATTATTTTGAGCTTATGTTGTCTTCTTCTCTGCTGCTTCTTATTTAAATCTTTGGATTTTTAATGAGTAATTTCAGCCGGTTCCTGAATATCATTGCTGCAAAAGTTGGTTGATCAATTAAAAACCTAGATGATCAAAACATATTATGCTTAGTGGTAAAGTAGTTCCAGGTGGGAAACTATCTGTTGAAATTTAACATCTAGGAGTAACTGTTGTTGACACTACATACGTTTTCTGATGACTAAATCCATTGTCAAGACAATAGACAAACTTGGGGAACCTGTTTGCTCTTCCCCCTGTGCAAAATAAATGAATAAAAAGAAAATGAGAAATACAAAACAAAAATAGAAAAGATCTCAATTCATTTTGATTGTGGTGACAACCTTTATAGTGGCACTCCCTCTATCAAAGCATGACTGTTCAAAATCAAATGAACCTTCATCTTTTCTGTAAAAGCATTGTTGTATGTGCATCTTTTCTGCCAACATTTCAAATAATTGATGGGTGATATGCATAGGTGAGAAATATGGGAGGGTTACTAATTATAATGTTTTATCTAATAGGCAGCAACATTTAAATCCTTGAATTTTATAATCTGTTCTGGTTATAGCCCCTGAATTGAAGTTAAGATTCTTGTCTATTCAACACATATACAGTCCCACCTCCATTCTGTTGTAGTTTTTGTAGTCATTATCTCTTTCAAATTTCTTTGGAATAGAATAAATTCGTTGTGTACATTTAGCGTATCCCCATCTTATATTGTTTTAAACAGGTTTTCAGCCAAATGGACAGGCTCCAATATCTTGCACGGACAAGGGATTGACCCCACAAAATCAAAGTAACGGCATTGATGCTGCACTATATACACCCCCAAGGAGGCTAAGGACCGATGAAATTCCTCAAATTGTCAGTGACTTCAGGCTTGCTGCGAGGAATGCTATGGAAGCTGGTAACTTAACTAGCTAAAAATGTTGTGAGAATCAATTTACTTCAACCTGAATCTATATAAGCGATGCCTTGAATGGCAGGATATAATTATATTGTTTCTTTTTTTAATACGTTGGTTCAGGTTATAATTAAAAGGCTTCAATACAATTCCGTTCTTTCAAGTTTCATTAAAGGTTCAATTTTGCCCCTCTAGATTAAACATTGGTATTGACAATCTATTTTTTAAAATGATCCAATTTTATCCCATTGTTTCATCAGTATGCTAGATGTAATGTCAAACCTGACAATTTGTAAGATGATGGTACCAGGTAAATAAATAACATCTAAATTTGCACGTCGTTAGATTTTGTATTACTTTTTCAAGGGATAAAGGGGCAGAATGGAAACATTTTATCACTTTAAAAGCTGGAGGAAAATATAGCCCACTTTTGAATTACAAATTTAGAGGGACCTAAATTGTATATAAGCCTAAGTATTGGGAAATATTTTTATTCTTTAGAAGCAATGTTACACGCTAATGGTGGCACTGGCAGTGCATTTTATCTGATATGCTTGACATTGTAACTCAATGCAACGAGTTTAAAATGATGATACTTGTGCAATTGTAGGTTTTGATGGGGTTGAAATTCATGGTGCCCATGGTTACCTTCTTGATCAATTTATGAAAGATCAAGTCAATGATCGAACAGATGAATATGGCGGATCACTCGAGAACCGCTGTCGCTTTCCTTTGGAAGTTGTTAAAGCTGTTACTGATGAGATAGGGGCAGAACGAGTTGGGATTAGATTATCACCTTTTGCGCATCATGCAGAATGTGGGGATTCCAATCCCAAAGAGCTTGGCCTTTACATGGTAAATTCTTTGAATAAACATGGTATCTTGTATTGTCACATGGTAGAACCAAGAATGAAGACTCCTGTGGAATCAGAACAAATTGAGTGCCCTGACCGACAGAGTCTTCTTCCAATGAGGAAGGCCTTCAATGGTTCTTTCATTGTTGCTGGAGGCTATGACCGCAAAGAGGGCAACAATGCAGTGGCTGAGAACCGGGCTGATCTTGTCGCATATGGTCGTTGGTTCTTGTCCAATCCAGATTTGCCCAGGAGATTTGAGCTTGATGCTCCTCTCAACAAGTACAACAGAGACACATTTTATACTGCTGATCCAGTTGTTGGATATACTGACTACCCATTTCTAGATGAAAGTTCTCAAGTCTCTAATTGCGAATGGTGTTTTTGATATCTGCTCTTCTATAGTGCATTGTATTTGAACATTCCAATTTCAGTGGAAACTGTTCATATGTCAATAAAAACCATTGTGCACCTATTATGTACTTGTTTGTGCCTACTATTTCTGTGATTTGCAGGTGTAGCCACCGATGGATAATATTTCTAGAATGATGGTGAATGCTTATTGATTTCTTAGTCTGGCTTCCCCTTTTAGCTATTGATTTTTGCCCATGCCAATTGTTGTCTCTTCATACTAATTTAATTGATTACATTTGGTTGTTAGACATTTACTATATATTTTAGCACATTATAATTTGGAAAATTTATCTAATCATCCTTTTTTTAATAAACAATAAAATGGCAAGTTGAGCTAAAATATTTTAGGTTATTATTTTTCCATTGCACCAAAAGATTTTAAAAATAAAAAAAAAGAAAAAACTTAAAGATCATGGTTCCTGTGAAAATTTTAAGGTTTTCCTTTTTATATATAAAAGGATCAATTAATAAATATCACACTACAAAACGGTACATTTTGTTTTTGATAAGCAAGTGAACACCACTTCTATCACAATTACATCTTTATTTATCTATTTTGAACTTCTATTTACACTCCACTAAACTATGTCACACCAATCATTAAAACTAATCAAAAGTAGTTGTTTATTGTTTTGGGAGCATCTTATGGAGGATTCTCTCGAGAGACATAAAAACATAATAGGCTAAAAAAAAAAATCTAAAGTCTCACTTCAAAGTTCTTGATTAAAATTAAATAATATATCTTAAAATAAAAGGAGATAAAGGTCACAAATAAATCTTAAAGCAGAGCATGCCTTTAGTAATAGATGGGGGTCATTTTGAGTGAATAATGAGGTGACTATTTTTCTTCTTTTGACTTCCTATTAAGTAACCTTACATCTCACTTTAAGAACGTTGCTTTCCACTTTCAGAAAATATAATGTTATTTGGATATATTTTATTAGAAAAGACTTTTTAAATTATTTTAATAAATTAACTCGACCAACGAAAATTAAAATGAGTAATCATTCATCAATTAAATCAATCAACTTCACATGCCTCCATGCAACTTGTCCCCATTTTACTTTTTAGCAACAAGTTGGCCTTCCTTTTTCTGCTGGGCAAAAGAAATAAAAGAAAAAATAATTAATATAAAGTCCCACAGAAAAAAAAAAAAACAATAGGTCCTAAAATACCTTTATATTATTGTATATTAAAAATACCCAACCCTCCATTGCTGACCACAATTGTCAGAGTTCCGCCTGGGGGTGCTCAAACAACCACTGGGGCTATGGTCGGCAGGTGGTGGTGTGTTAGACTTTTTTAATATATAATAATAATAATAATAGTAGTATATCTGTATTAATGAAGATTTAAATTTAAAATAAATTTTTTATTTTAATATATAAAAATTTATAAATAATATATTTTTTTATAATTTTAAATTTTTTTATATCCTAACTTATAGTCACTTCAAATCTCTGTGCTTTTTATATTTCTAGCGTTAAAATATTACTGTCTCTTGTATTTTTTTATTTTTATTCTCATTTAATTGATTGAAAAATAAAATAAAATTTATTAATTTTAATTTTTTATTTTCATTTTAAATCACAATTCATATATTTTATCTATTTGAAAATTTTCAAATTACTCAAATAAAATTTTTTAAACATATGTAAAATTCAAGTGCAAATTCACGATGAAAACGCTAGCTAAGGTATTATGACAATGAGTATAAAACTTATCTATATCAAAGAGACTCGGGATTTTAAAAATATTTTAGCGTTGAATTTTCAGACGTCGGATCTCCTCGGCTTCAGGTGAGCTTTGCATCTCTCCGACAAAATCCAGACAGCGATTAATTGGTGTCTTCAGCTTCAAATGGCGATGGGTCAACTCTTATGGGCGATCGCCATTCACTGCACTTCTCCCCATTCTGCAAACGCACTGCCTGATGTCATCATCCAACTAGCTCTCTCTCTCGGAGGCTGTGGAGCCTCCATTGATTCTACCTTTGTAAGTGACTTACAGTTTATATATATAGCAATTACTCTGTGATTCTTTTCATTTATAGCAACTGAGAATCTTGTGTTGTGCAAAAATGGCTTCTGAAGATCCGACTATTCCTCTTCTTACGCCCTACAAGTTGGGAAAATTCAATCTATCCCATAGGTGCTCGCACTCCCTTGAACTTCTTCTGTTGTTTATGTCGGTTTCTCTATCAAATTTTTCTGCCCTAATTTCATGTAGATGAGGTGCTTTCAAAAATCCCAGTTCATGATGTGTATCTAACTTGAAAATCACAAATTTTGAAGTTTGTTCTACAGCATTTGCGGGAGATGGGATTTATATTTGGATTATTTTGATTTAGTCCTTATGTTCTCCTTGCTTGTGTGCTACGAAAAGTCACTTGCATCTACTATTGGTGTAGCAGAATAGGGAATTTTTATTGCGGTCAATGGAGTTTATTTCTGTTACTTTAGTGTCAGTATCAGTTGACTATTTTGTGATTTCTTTGTTCAAAATTGGTTTACTTTTTCTGTACAGAGTTGTTCTGGCACCATTGACTAGACAGAGATCTTACAACAATGTTCCTCAGCCTCATGCTATCCTATATTACTCTCAGCGAACGACCAAGGGGGGTCTTCTGATAACTGAAGCTACTGGTGTTTCTGACACTGCTCAAGGGTAATTTGTGCACTTTATTATTTCTTATGTTAACTTTGTCTCATTTTGCTAGGATGTTTCCCAAAATGTGTTTCATTTTTTTTTTGTTTGCTGTCCTATGTGAAGCTATGTTGATACACCTGGAATATGGACAAAGGAACAGGTGCAAGCATGGAAACCCATTGTGGATGCTGTTCATGCCAAAGGTGGGATATTTTTTTGTCAGATCTGGCACGTGGGAAGGGTTTCAAATTCAGGTATGTTTTCTTTTTTTTTTTTGGCTAAGTTTGTCTTCTATCTGAGAACAGTAGCTAGAAAATATCCTTTCTTTTCTTTTGGGTGAACAAGAGATTTGACATGTTTCCGTAGATTTTTGAATTATTTTGAGCTTATGCTGCCGTCTTCTCTGCTCCTTCTTATTTAAATTTTTGGACTTTTAATGTGGATTTCATCTGGTTCCTGAATATCATTGCCGCAAAAGTTGGTCCATCAATTAAAAACCTAAACGATCAAAGTATATTATGCTTAGTGGCAAGGTAGTTCCTAGTGGAAACTATTTGTTCAGGTTTAACTTCAAGAAGGAACTGTTGCAGACACTATACATGATTTTTGATGACTCAATTCAGTGCAAAGACTATAGACAAAGACAAACTTGGGGAACCTGTTTGCTCCTCCTCCCCTGTGCAAAATAAATGAATAAAAAGAAAACGAGAGATAAAAAATAAAATTAAAAAGTTCTTCATTTTATTTAATTTTTTTTTTTTTTTTTACTGCGGTGACAACCTTTATAGTGGCATTCCCTCTATCAAAGCATGACTACTCAAAATCAATTGAACTACATCTTTTCTATGGAAGCATTGTTGTATTTGCATTTTTTCCACCAGCATTTTGAATGATTCAGGGGTGACATGCATAGGTGAGAAATATGGGAGGCTCTCTAATTATAATCTTTTATGTAATATGCAGCAACATTTAAATCCTTGAATTTTATAGTCTGTTCAGATCATAACCCCTGAACTGAAGTTAAGATACTAGTCTATTCAACACATATACAGTCCCACCTCCATTCTGTTGTAGTATCTGTACTCATTATCTCTTCCAAATTTCTTTGGAATAGAATGAATTTGGTGTATATGTTTAGTGTATGCCAATCTAACATTGTTTTAAGCAGGTTTTCAGCCAAATGGACAAGCGCCAATATCTTGCACAGACAAGGGACTGACCCCACAAATTCGAAGTAATGGCATTGACGTTGCACAATATACACCACCAAGGAGGCTGAGGACAGATGAAATTCCTCAAATCGTCCATGACTTTAGGCTTGCTGCAAGGAATGCTATGGAAGCTGGTAACTTAACTAACTAAAAATGTTGTGAAAAATCAATTGACTTCAACCATAATCAATATAAGCAATGCCTTGAATGGCAGGATATAATTATATTATTTCTTTTTTTTAATGCATTGGATCAGGCTATAATTAAGAGGCTTCAATACAATTATGTTCTTTCAAGTTTCATTAAATGTTCAATTTTGTCCCTCTAAATTAAACATTGGTATTGACAATGATGCTCTCCTATTTTTTAAAATGATCCCATTTTATGCCATTGTTTCATCAGTATCCTAGATGCAATGTCAAACCTGACAGTTTGCAAGATCATGGTACCAAGTAAATAAATAACATCTAAATTTGATCACGGTTACATTTTGTATTACTTTTTTAAGGAATAAATGGGCAGAATGGAAACATTTTGTCATTTTAAAAGCTGGAGGACAGTATAGCCTACTTTTGAATTGCAAATTTAGAGGGACCTAAATTGTATATAAGCCTACGTATTGAGCAATATTTTTATTCTTTAGAAACAATGTTACACACTAATGGTGGCACTGGCAGTGTATTTTGTCTGGTATGCTTGACATTGTAACTCAATGCAACGAGCTTAAAATGATGATACTGGTGCAATTGTAGGTTTTGATGGGGTTGAAATTCATGGTGCCCATGGTTACCTTCTTGATCAATTTATGAAAGATCAAGTCAATGATCGAATAGATAAATATGGTGGATCACTTGAGAACCGCTGTCGCTTTCCTTTGGAAGTTGTTAAAGCTGTTACTGATGAGATAGGGGCAGAGCGAGTTGGGATCAGATTATCACCTTTTGCACATCATGCAGAATGTGGGGATTCCAATCCTAGAGAACTTGGTCTTTACATGGTAAATTCCTTGAATAAATATGGTATTCTGTACTGTCATGTGGTAGAACCAAGAATGAAGACTCCTTTGGAACAAATTGAGTGCCCTGACAGTCTTGTTCCAATGAGAAAGGCCTTCAATGGCTCTTTCATTGCTGCTGGAGGCTTTGACCGCAGCGATGGCAATCATGCAGTGGCAGAGAACCGAGCAGATCTTGTTGCCTATGGTCGGTGGTTCTTGGCAAATCCAGATTTGCCAAAGAGGTTTGAGCTTAATGCTTCTCTCAACAAGTACCACAGAGAAACATTTTACACTTCTGATCCTGTTGTTGGATATACTGATTATCCATTTCTTGAAGTGAGTTCTTAAGGCTCTAATTGTAGATGGGTATTTTCAGTCCTTGCTCTTCTTTAGTTTCTTCTATTTTGAACATTCCAATTTCAGTTGAGTGTAATAACATTACAAAATGGCAGCAAAAAGCCATTGGGCAAAAGTGATGTGCTTATTCGTGCCCTTCTATTTTCCCTTTATAAATAACTTTGTACTATTTTGGGTTCAAGTAATATAAGATAAAGGGCATGCTCTGTCCCCACCATTATATATTACTCATAATTTTTTTGCATTTAAACATACTTGAATTCAAAGTTTCATGCTTAAAGGGCGGCCATAATCCTTTTTATTATGACCAATCCATGCTGTTTGTCCTGTATTTTAAATTGAAGGGTGTATAAGTTAAAAGGTGGCAGATTAGGCTTACCACATTGGTTGGTGGGCCTCAGTAATTTTGATGGAGTTGAGTTGGATCGTATAGATTATTCCAGTGAAAGCAATAGGTTGGCTTTTTTTTGTTTTGTTTTGTTTTGTTTTTTTACAAAAGAATATAAGGTTGATGACACTTTTTTAAAACTATTTTATAAAATTATTTTCCATGCACTAAGTTAACTTGAATATATATTTAATATTTAAAATATATGTTTAATAGGTAATCCAAAAATATATATTTAATAGATAGATGTATAACTTAATTTACTAGGTTGATGAATTTTAGCATTCTGAAATTAATAACCTCATTAATTTAAACTTATTTATTTAAGAAACCATAAAATTCAAATGGTTGTGAAAATATTTAAAACAAATATTTCTTCATATTCTACTTATAAGTCACTTGCAATGATTTTACTAGAATTAAGAAAAAATTTAAAATTTATTTACTCTATCTAAAAATTTAATAATTTTTTAACTTTATATTTATTAAATATATTTTTTTCATCAACATTTAATGGCACATAAAGAAAAAAATTTAGGATAAAAATTAAATGACTTGAGTTATAGATATGACACTTTTTTCTCAAGATATTTAAATAAAAATATTTTTTATTTAAAGGCAAATAGCAGCAAATATAAAAAAACAAGTAGGAAAAAGAAGATTAAAAAAAATAAAAATAAACCAACATCAAGCTGAAGTTAAAAATAAAAGTTGAAGCATGGTAAACATGTGTTAGCTTGCAAAGGATTGACTTGAAGAAAAGTTCTGCAAACCATCTTGAATTTGCTAGGGAGGAAGTGAATATTAATCATAATCATCGGAGATAAACCTTTAACTAAGGCCTTTTTGAAAAAGAATTTTGACCAGTAGACTAAATTAAAATCTTAGGTCCATGCTTCATTAAGTTAATGATGAAAGGAAAATTGCTTACCAACTCAGCAAGAGTTTGCGGATGTTTTACTCATGACCCAAGGTGTTGTCTTTACATTGCTCCATTGGAAAATATTACCCATGCATTCAAGGAATGCACCTTTGTTGCCTCTATCAGGAAGAAAATCCTACCAATTAATATGTGCAATGACTTCTATAGTAAGGATATCATCTCCCGGCTAACTTAGTGTCTCCCACACCCAAAACTAGACATATCATGAAAGGTTGGAATTAGCATCACTTACTGGAAGCTCTGGGAAATTTGCAACCGTCACATTTTTGCTGAGGAAACTTTCTTTCTTGGTACTGTACTTTCTCAAATTAGGGCCATAAGCAATTTTACTTCCTTTCAAAAGAATAAGTTTTTTTTTTATCAGTTCAAACATTTAAGTGGTCAAATATTTACTCATCAAATAAATGTTTTCAAGCTTATCTTAGAGCTAAAACGGTGCACAAGATAATTAATTTATAATTAATCAAGCCCACTACTATCAACAACACCATTTAATACAAATTTAACTTTTAATTTCAATTCTATAAATACCTAAAATCTTAATCTCTTGCATTTAAGTTCAACCATTGGGTTTATTAACTCACTTTAAGTTCCTTGAGTTTTATTAAACTCTTAGACCCTCATTAATGACTTCCCAATCAACTACAACAACCTTATTAAATTGCATCTTCGATTAAAAATGCCATCTAACCAACAAAAACATGCTTAGCTCATGAACATTGATTTAAATAACTAAAACAACTTCAATTAATTTTATTTAAGTTAAAAGGTTTGAATTCATAACTTTTATGATCCGAAAATTATATCTAACAACAAACTTTAACCTTCAAAATTGTCAAAAGAGGAAGGTGAAGGAAAATTAAGGCTTGGGAAACTCACCTTATATTTGCTAGTTTCAAAATCCTCTAGAAAGCAAATCCTAATAGAGCTCCCAAGCTTCTTTTGTCTCTCTCTTCCAACCTTGTGTTTTCTCTCTCTTTTTCATGTCAAAACACAACCTTATTACTGTTAGACTTTGGCCGTAGCCGTGACACTTATTACACGCGTTGTGACATATGGCACAGAGAGAGTTCATTTTTATTTTTTAACTTATTGTATTGTGGCACCCGATGCACACGCTGTGATATAAAGGCATTTTTCTTTGTTTTTATCCCCTTTTAAGGTTCAGGTGACTTGTACTTGCTCCAAACCCAAGTATATGGTTGAAACTATAACTCAAAACCTTCATTAGCCTTTCTAATCACATATCATAATAATTTACTTAATTATTATTATTAATTAGTTTGATTAAATAGAAGGTTAATTTTTAAAATGTTACAAGAGTCGAAAAAAAGAAATCGGGCTCGGCAAGGTGAGGATGCTTTCTTTCTAGCTGCTTTCTATTCTTTTGTTTTTTTTTGTTTTCCCTTTTTGCACAGTTTTAGAGAAGTGGAGAGATAGGAAGTAGAGAGACTCCTTGCCCCAAACTTCTAACGCATTTGGGCTTGCTTCATTCCAAGTACGTATTTTCTTGAGAAAGTAGAATGCATGTTGGAAATCTTGAATAGCTTTATTCAAGTTAAGCTTAAGCCCGTCATGAATGAGTGAGTTCTGTAATTTCCAAATGCTGTGAATTATGATAAATTTTTCCAACAAGTCAAACTCTATATTTAGGATAAGTTGTTTTAAGAAGCCCTTGAGAATTTACAAGCAGTTATTATTATCCAAAAAATCATATCTAAAGGACAGATTCAAACCAAAGAAAATATGATTTAGTATGGTAAGTGGTAGAATGGTAAACATGTGCGTGTACGTATAAGAGAAGTCTATCTTATTATATTAAAAAAAAATAATCATCTAATCTTTATAGTTGTAATTTAGTTATAATTTAATTAATAAATTTTGACTCATTATAATTTAATCGTTATAATTTTGATTGATTATAACTCAATTTTTAAGCTTTGACTCTTGCAATTCAATTCTTATAGTTTTAATGATTTAAAATATTCATTTTTATATTTTAAAAACAAAATTACAAAGGTTAAAAATATTTTAAAATTTTAATCTTTATAAAAATTAAAACTTTTAGTAATTTAACATATTAATTCTAAATTTTAATATAATTTTAATTTTTATAATTTTATTTTTTAAAATATAGAGACTAATATTTTCAATGATTAAAACTATAAGAATTGAGTTACATCAAATCAAAATTTAAAAATTAAATAACAATCGAGTGAAAACTATAAATATAATAAATCAAAGTTCAAGAATTAAATTATAATTGATTTAAAATTATATGGGTTAAATAATTATTTTTTAACAAATATTATATTTTAATCAAACTTTTATTATTATTTGTGCTTTTTAAAAAATAGTTTTATTTTATTATTAATTATATGGCGCTCGCCATCGATCCACTGTAGTCAGTTCACTGCGCTCATTTGCCCTCTGCGAACGCGCGCTCTCACGTCATCATCCGGTTGATGGCTTTTAGAGCTTATACTTATTTTGATTAGTCTGTTATCATCCAAATCATATTCAAACGAATCTTGCTTTAATCCAAAAATAATCATAATAGAATTTTATGGGATGGAATAAGAAAAGAATTCAGGACAGAATGAGATACAAAATTATCACTGAGATATCCTATCCTATCTTAAATATTATATATATTATTTTATTTTAAAAATATACATTAAATATATTAATTATATTAATATAATTTATACTTATATTAATTATATTAATTATAATTTCAATACTTATAATCCTTATATAAAACTAAAGTTTTTTATATTAATAATTTTAATAACATAGAGTAAATAAGGCGATATCTTTCTTTATAATATATTAATTATATTAATATGATTTTATTTTTATATCCATCAATTTAATAACTTTTATTTATATTATATTTTTTTATTTTTTTAAAAATAATTAGTTTAGCATATCTCAACTAAAGTGAAAGAACAATGATTTGATGTACATTATGATCGCTTGTAATTGCTATCATAATGTTTAGTTGTGATTAATGTAATTCAATAACTGATTTTAAATTATTGTGATTTATGTACTTGTATTGTTTTGATTTTAAACTTAATAAATTATATGTTTTAAAATTTTAATGAATGTTATTATCCAAATTTTTTTTTAAAATTGTCCGATTTATTGAGATTATGGGAAGTCCTGAACTCATCTCGGTCCTATCTTAATTCTTAACTGAACGGGATAACTTTCAAGATGGGATGGGAGATAAGACAAAAATTTAATCTTGATCTTTTTTTGAGATGGGATGTGGGATAGGAGTGTTTCAATTCTATCTCAACCTATTATGTGAACACTTTTAAATGGCTTATGGTTATTCGATTCACTTTAGATATGTTCTGAAAAATATATCAAAATTCTAAAGTGTTGACACAGAGTGAAATAATTATTTTAACGCAAATGTCTTCCATGAATACGCTATATGTGTGTGTGTGTGTGTTTTTTTTTTTTTGGCCTTTTCTCTAATCATGTAAAATAAAAAAATAACAAAATACTAGTATTACAAAAATTTAGTTTTTTAGAACAATTTTTAATTTTATTATTTTTAATAGATAATAAAAATATATTTTTAAATAATTTTTTGAAAAAATAATAATAAAATCTTTTTGAAATATATAAATGACAATTTGATTCTTCAAAATGCCAAAATTTTTTGAAATTCTTAAAGATTTTTTTGTCATTAATACATTTATATAAATTATTAAATTGTTATAAATTATTAAATTATCCTTATTGAAAATAAATAATTCACAACTTTCGTTTTTATATTCATAACTTTTCACAATAATGTAAGAGCAAATAAAAAATTTAACATATAAAATTGTGATTTGCTGTTGTATTGTTATAAATTTAAGAAGCAAAGTTGTAAATATAAAAATAAAAGTTGTAAATTATTTATTTTCAACAAGGATAATTTAATAATTTATATAAATTCATTAATGATAGAAAAGTTTTAAAAAAATTTAAAAAATTTTTGACATTTTAAAAGACCAACTTATCATCTATATATTACAAAAAAAATTTATTATATATTTTTTTTAGTTTTTTAACGAGTAAGGGTAACAAATGATAACTACTATTTTAAGATAAATGGTGCTGAGATTCCTGGAAGTTATGAGGATATCTTAGGTAACGAAGACAACGTTTTTTTTTTTTTTTTTTAAATGCTCTGAAAACAATCAACAGCACGGTTTGTTTTTTTCTGGCGCCAGGTAGTCTATAATCTATATATGACACTGGACGCGGTTGGCTCTGTAGTTGTTTTGATATGAGAAACGCGGTTTTTCTTTTGATTCGATGTACGATGATTTGTTTATGTTCTCTTTTCCGTCCTACGGCATTGACTTGTGGCTTGTCTACTAAACAAAGGCCCTCGCCGTCGCGCCACTGTCCTCAACAACTCATCTGCCATCTGCTAACGCACTCCCTCACGTCATCACATCATCCCACAAACTCCGTACCATGGAGTCGTCGTCTATTCGATCTTTTCATTTCACCTTCAGTTCTATTTATACCAAATCGATTCTTGTCTTTGGGCAGAAATGGCTTCCGAAGCTCCCGTCCTTCCTCTCCTTACCCCTCACAAGTTGGGAAATTTCAATCTATCCCACAGGTATGTACTGCTACTCCCTCGAATTTCTTCATTTTCCTTTTCGTTTGTCTTGCAGGTTTTCTTCTGTGCATAAATCATGATGTATATCATACTTGGAAATATAAAATTTTTTGAATTTGTTCTACAACTTTGAATGAAATATGATAGCTATTTTGATATTTCTTTGGTAACAAGTCATCTTTGTCATTTTAATTTCTTGGGTCCTTACATCCTCATCACTTTTGTTCTTTGAAAAGTCTCTTGCATCTACGATTTGTGAACGAGAATGGGGAAATTTCTTGCCAACCATTAAGTATAATACTGATTACTTCAAGTATCAGTTAACTACTTTGTTATTTCTTTATCAAAATTTGGTTTACTTTTGCTGTGCAGAGTTGTTTTGGCCCCACTGACTCGACAGAGATCTTACAATTATGTTCCTCAGCCTCACGCTATCTTACATTACTCTCAGCGAACTACCAAGGGGGGTTTATTGATATCTGAAGCTACTTGTATCTCCCCCACTGCTATAGGGTACTTCGTATTCTACATACTTATTTACGTTAATTTCATCTCAATTTGTTAGGAGCTCCACACTGATTGTTTCAATTTGATTTATTTATATATTCATCTTTTGGTTGTTGTCTTGTTCAATGTCAAGGTATGCTGATGTACCAGGCATATGGACAAAAGAGCAAATAGAAGCATGGAAGCCCATTGTGGATGCAGTCCATGCCAAAGGTGGCATATTTTTCTGTCAGATTTGGCACACTGGAAGGGTTTCAAATTCAGGTATTCTATGGCCAATTTTATCTTCTGGTTTGACAATAATAGCTAGAAAATCATCTGTCTTTTCAAATGAGTGGGCTAAAGAGATTTAACATGTTTCAGTATATTATCGCTTTGAATGGCCTAGAACCATGCTGTATGTGAAGTTGAGTACTGCATTCTTTTGAAATGTTTATTGTATACCTTCTGCTGTCTTCCTCTCTACTACCTTTGTTTAAAGCTATGGGGTTCATCAGCTTGCTGAATACAAAATAATGAATCGGTCATTTCTGCATGAAGTGGGTTATCAAGAAAAAACCTGAATGATGATTAAGATATTATCCTCATTGGCAAACTTGTTTGTGTTAGGATAGTTTGGAAAGTAAGTGTGGTAAGATATCAAAGTCCCACAATGGGTAAGTGCTGGCTCATATCACATGGCAAAATTGTTTTGAAGAGAAAGTTTAAGTGGATTTTAAATATTAATTAATAAAAATTTATTATAAATATGAAATGAACCCTAGGATTATTCATTATATACACCTTTTGTCTATTGAATACAAAATAATTAAGGTTCCGGCAACAACCTTAGCGGCCCCATCATAGTGTTTCCAATGCCAACGTAGAGGACATATTGCATTGCACTGCTGCCTATATTGTGATTTAGCTCCAACATTTTTGTATTTGGATCATGAAGGCCTTCTCAATTTTCAGAGGCATTTGAACCCTAAGCATGCCAGGTGGGTAGAGTTCATTCATGAATTTGCTTTTACTGTCAAGCATCATTCAGGAGTAAAGAATAAGGTCATTGGTGCTTTGAGTTGAACGCTTGATATATGGAACTCCATGACAATTAGCATCATTGGATTTGAAAGACTAGAGAATGAATAATGAACATGCTTTGACTTTGGACTTTGGAGTCGTCTATCAAGATTCAAGAAGTTAGTGATGGAAATGTCATGTCCACGTTGACTTCTTGGTTAGAGATGGTTATCTATTGTGTGCTTCTAAGTTGTGCTTTCCGTGATCATCCATGAGGGATATTCTTATTTGGGAATTATGTGCTGAGGGTGTAGCCAAACATTTTGGAACAAATAAGAGCATAGCTGTCAATACTTTAGGGCCTTCCTGAAGTGTGATATTGCTAGGATTTTATTCCTATGTCAGACCTGTCAATACTCAATTATCTAAGGCAAAGATGTAAAATATAGGATGTTACACTTATTTGCCTATTCGTAAGGCACCCTAGCAAGGCCTTAATGTGGTCTTTGTGTTAGGCTTACCATAAACAGCACGAGGAGATGAGTCCATTTTGGTTGCTATCTTTAGATTTTCTAAGACAACTCACTTTATCCTTCGTAGCAAGACTCTAGATGTCTCTTACTTGGCTAAGTTATTTTTTTGAGAGGCCATGCATTTGCATAGGTCTGTTACTTGCTACTATTTATCTGATAGAGATGTAGAGTTCATTGGCTACTTTTGGAAAAACCCTTCAGAATCGTTTTGGTACCCAGCCAAAGCTTTCCTTTGTCTTTCACCCTTAGACTAATGGACAAATTGAATTGGGCAATAAGACTGTCATGGACTAGTTTTGCCATTGCCATCTATCACACCACTCTTTGAAGAAATTGATGTACTCAGATCTGTAGGAGTTGCCACTTGGATTATAGAAGGCAAGCTTCAACGCTTAGATCCCACCTTGCTTGAGTCCTATCAGCTCTTTATCTCTTTGAAAGATAGTTCTTTCAATTAGAGGGAATTGATGGAAATCTCAAGGCGTATGGGTATAGAGAATATAGAGTCAATGATTTGCTAAGATATTTTGGTTTGATTAGGATTTACTAATATTTATCTTTTATTTTATCTTTAATTATGATTTAGTTTATTTTTGGATTACATAAAAGGATTAGGAATAGGGCTCTATAAATAAGCCATAGGGGACTACTTGTTGTATTCATGTTTTGCCTATTGAATAAATCTATTGAGAATTTTAGTTACTCTTTCTATGCTTCAAGTTCTTTTTCACAAATTCTCCCTCTTCTTTGGCCTTTATCTTCTTCACCTTATTACATTGCTTCCTTTATCAAAGCATGGTTGTTTATACATGCATTATGAATGGTTCACGAGTGAGAAATAAAGGAGGCTCTCTAAATCTAATGTATTTTATTTAATATGTGACAAACTATATTGAATCTGTCTTTTTTTTCAATATATAACCCCCCAAAATTGAATATATATATATATATATATATTGGCTATTGAACACCTACAGAGTCCCACCTACATTCTGCTGTAGTATTTGTGTTCTTATGATATCTTATATTTCTTTGGATACACACACGTACACACTTTTAATGTATTGATGGTTACATTGTTTTCAACAGGTTTGCAGCCAAACGGGCAAGCCCCAATATCTTGTACAGACAAGGGACTGACCCCACAAATTCAAAGTGATAGCATTGATGTTGAACAATATACACCACCAAGGAGGTTGAGCGCTGATGAAATTCCCCAAATTATCAATGAATTCAGACTCGCTGCTAGGAATGCTGTGGAAGCTGGTACCTTCGATAACTATAGATGTTGTAATAAATCAAACTACTTCAACCATAATCTATATAAGTAATGCTTTGAATGGCAGGATATAATTATACTGTTTCTTCTTTAGTACATTGATTCAGATTATAATTAACAGGTCTTAATGCAATTTTGTTCTTTCTTGTTTTATCAATGATTCAATATCTATTGAAGCTAAAAGCTGGCTGTAGAGGCAATGATGCTTTCCTTTCTTTTCCCCTTTTTAACATGTTCAATTTTGTCCCACTGTCCCATCATCCAAGATTGAATTTCAAGTCCAAGAATTTGTTGAATTAGATGCAAAATCTCAGTGGAAGTTAATGGTACCAAGTAAATAAATGACATCTTCGTTAGCATACGATTAGAATTTGTATTAATTACAATATAGCCTATTTCTGAACCAACCAGTACCGAATTGAGATTTTTACAAGTATAGATGGATATTAATGATCTCATAGGCATTATGTTTATTATTTGCAAATGATATGACGCACTTATGGGGGTACTGGCATTGTATTTCCATCTGTATATGCATGGCATTGTAACTGAATGCAACAAGTTTGGAATGATAATAATTATTTGTTGTAGGTTTTGATGGGGTTGAGATTCATGGTGCCCATGGTTACCTTCTTGACCAATTTATGAAAGATCAGGTCAATGATCGAACAGATGAATATGGTGGAACACTGGAGAACCGGTGCCGCTTTCCTTTGGAAGTTGTTAAAGCTGTTGCTGATGAGATAGGGGCAGAGAGAGTTGGAGTTAGATTATCACCTTTTGCAGATTATAATGAATGTGGAGATTCCAATCCTAAAGAACTTGGCTTATACATGATAAATTCCCTAAATAAATACGGTATTCTGTACTGTCACATGGTGGAACCAAGAATGAAGACTCAATGGGGAAAAGTTGAGTGCCCTCACAGTCTTGTGCCAATGAGAAAGGCCTTCAACGGAACTTTTATTGTTGCTGGAGGCTATGAACGTGAAGATGGGAACAATGCAGTGGCAGAGAACCGAGCGGATCTTGTTGCCTTTGGTCGGTGGTTCTTGGCGAATCCAGATCTGCCAAAGAGATTTGAGCTTGGTGCTTCTCTCAACAAGTACCGTAGAGAGACTTTTTACACTTCTGATCCTGTTATCGGTTACAATGATTATCCACTTCTTGAAGACAGTTCTTAACTATAAGCCTTTAGATGTGAAAGGTGGTTCTTGAACTGTTCAATTTCAGTGTTGGGTGCAATAATTTTACGATGTGACAAAAATAAAAATGAAAAAGAGAAGAGCAGCATTGAGCATCAGTTAGTCGCTTTTTGTGCCTTTTCATTTCCGCTTGGTGACTGGTAATGTTTTTCTGTTTGGATACTAGTTTGGTAGTCTGGGAGCTCATAGAATTGGTATGGTTTGTAGCCGCCATTATACAATGATATTTTTAGCCAGATGAGTGCATAAAAGTTCCTTGTTTTGGCTTCATTTTATGAATAAATTATTTATAGCTGTTGTTTGCCTCTTTAAGGTGATGTGGAGTTGCCATGGCTGTGAGCCTTTGCAACATAGACTTGTTTAGTTAGTTTGTTTGTGTTGGTATTAAAAAAAAAAAAAGGCTCGTTTGGTTAAAAAGGGGCACTTGTGACAATTTCTTTGTGATTTTTTTAACATATCCATTCACTAATTTTTCTAGTTATTATTTGTGGATAGATATTCATTTTATACTTTAGTACATTGGAATTAGAACGATTTTGTGGAAATATGTTAGAAATATATAATTATTGAACTTGGAAAGCAAGCTTTGGGATGCGAATAATCATTTTTCTAAGAACATTATTTATATTTATGGAACCTAAAATTTTGAAATTTCAAAAAAGAATGATGATCTTTTACCCAAAAAAAAAACGACAACAAAAAATCATCATCCTTTAGTTAACTTTAATTAAAAATATTTTATTCAAACTTTTTCAGCATTCATTTTCCGTAATTTTAGCATTCGTCTTTCATATTTTTAGTTCTCATATTCAATTATCAGTACTCATTGTTTTATTTTTTTAGGAGTTAAATTAGATATTTTTAATAGGAAAAATGATAATAAAATTTTCCTAAATTATATAAATAATAATTTAATATATTAAAATGATATAATTTTATTGAAGTTCATAGAAATTTCTGTATGAGATCATTTTATTTTTATTGGAAATAACAAGCCCGGATGACAATTTTTATTTAAAAAATAATAACTTTTATTTTATGAATAACAAAAGTTGAATAAGAAATCATAATTTATCAAGTATAATATATGCTATTGAAAAATAAGTTTTTCAAAATAATAAATTTCAATCACAATTTTTATTCAAGGAATAAGAACTTTTGTTCAGTGAATCTCAAAAATTGAATAAAAATTATAATTTTTTAAGTGTAATTTTTATTATCGAAAAAAGTTTTCAAAATAACAAATTTCAATCATAACTTTTATTTAAGAAATAATAAATTTTATTTAAAAAATCATAAGAATAATATAAACTTAATGAGATTATGACATTTCAAGAGATCAAATTATCACTGATGTTATTTGGGAGATTTTACTATTATTTTCCTACGAATACTTTGTAGGAGAAGAACAATTATGACTTGCACAATTTCAAAAAATTCAAAAAGGATAAAATACTCCCTCCGTTGAAAAATGTAAAGTATTTTTAATCGAATATTATCCCCCAAAAAAAATAGTTATTTACTTTTCAACTAATCCTATTTTTTTATATTTATCATTATTAAACACCTTACAATAAATATAAAGTCATTATCAATAGGGGCACTTTTTTAAAAAAGTCAATAATTACATATCAAAAGACTAAAAATGTTTTATATTTTTGAACATCCAACTCCTTTAAAAATGCCTTACACTTTTAAACATAGGGAGTAGTCATTTTATTTTAAAATTAATTGACAACAATGTCTCTAAAAACTAGAAAAAAAAATTATCACATTTTATGATAGCTTTTATTATTTATATATTTTGAAGTTATTTTATTGAAATATGGTGGATGATTAGATTATCACCAAAATATAAAAGAGTACTAAAAAATTTAATGAGAAATTGTTTATCTCCCCCTTCCCTGTCCCTTTTATTATGGAATCCAGCAATTAGAGAGATGAAGAAGGTGCCCAGAAATATTAATGATTTTGAGGGTGATTACCTTTTAGGATTTGGGTTCAGTCCAACTGATAATGATTACAAGATAATGATAATTAATATTTGTGAGTTTCATTCCGTGGTTAATCCAGTGGAAGTGTATTCATTAATCTCTGGGTCATGGAAGCAAGTAGAATTTGGAAATCTAGAGGGTGTAAAGTATTAGTAGTCTGAGTAATGTAACTGTCAATGGGGTTATGTTTTGTTTTGGTAAAAGGGATTATGTTTATGATCAGGTAGTGTCATTTGACATAACAAATCAAGTGTGTACTTTGATACCAATGCCTGATTTAGATCATGCTTGTTATAACTAAAGGCTTCTGGTGTATGAGAACAAACTTGCTATGATTGCTGATAATGTTGAAAAGGATAAACCTTATTTGATTCATTTGTGGCTGATGGAGGAGCATACATGTGTGTCAGGGAACACATGGAATTGGACTAGAAAATATACTAGCAGCCACTGTCCTTGGCCTTGCATTTTAAATGCAGTGACTATTTGGAGGAATGAAATTGTGTTCCATCCTTTATATCAGGTTGAGAATGATGTTGAAACAAATAAATTAAGTCTGCTTAATCTTTCTGCTGATGAGTTTGAGAGGTTTCCTATCAGATGTGGCCCTATCTATAGGATTTTTAATTACGTGGAAAGCCTTGTATCCGTCGGCAACATGGACGTTGAAGAACCTTGAGTGTAGATTTTAATTATTACATTGCAGGTCTACTTTCTCTAAACATTTCTGGTGGAAATGAATCATTAATAGTTTAGATCATAAGGGCATTATTATTTATATGTAGTTGTTGAGTCCTTTTGGTGAAATTATGTGGAATGATGAATGTGGGTATTCAACTACCAGATGTCACTTACTCAGTTACTCTATCTGACCTTGTTAGTTTTCTTCGTAGTTGCTGTTTGATATTTTTTTCCCCTAGAAGTTTTTTTGTTTCTTGTCTTTTATGAATGTTGAATCCACAATAGCAGATGTTCAGTTTCTTGTCTTTCATTTCAAATCTCATACTTGTAGAAGTAACTTGTGTTATTTTGCTTGGTGCTTTTTGAGGTTCACAATATGAAGTCTCTATTATCTCCTGCTTCCAATCATGCTTAGAAAAGAACTTTTGGAACGTGTTTGGATGAAGAATTAGATTGAAATCCATTAACTTAGGGGCTGTGAAGAGGAAATTTTGAAAAGCGGATGTTGCTGGATGAAAATATGGTGCCTTTTTTTTTTTGGCATAAATGTGTTGAATTCAATTTCCATTCTGACCATGCAAGTTTGGATGCTTTCTATAATCAATTCGAGATCATCATGATTTTTTGTTTATATTTGATTTTGACATGTATAGGAGGGCTGTTTTGTTTGAATATTTTTAAGAAAATTATAATTTTGGGTTCATGATTGATTTTGGGATATAGTAGGAATGTTTTGATTTATTTATTTTTTAATAATTCATGATTTTAGATTCATAATTAATTTTGACATATAACATTAGTGTTTTTTATATATTTTTCATAGAACTATAATTTGACCTAATTTTCAATTATGGATTTCAATTATACTCAAAATCAATTTTATAAATCAATTATTATAAAATATAATTAATTATATTCAAGATCAATTATTTAAATCAATTTTATTCAATGGTAATTTGATGAAGTTGATTCTCTCTACTCTTTTACTCCCCTTCTCATATCAACCATTTGATTAAAATTTGAGCCATTTAGATTTAATATTTTATAAAATATTTTTGAAAATATTTTCTTTATTGTCTAATAAGTTGTCCCAACCAAATTTTAGTAGTTGAATACCCACATTGAAAGAAACAGAAGTCAGATCTTTGACTAGCGGTTCCTCCACTCAAGTGGTGTACCAGTCGACACATATATTAATCTCAATGTTTTCAAATGTCATAATCCAATTTTTCATAATAACTAATAAGCTCTTTGATTCTATCTTTTAAAGTTTGTTACATTATAAGGAGCTTATGTTTTCAACACTTAATCAAAAAATTGAGACTCGAAGATTCAAGTGACGAAAGTTTGCAAGATCCTTCAAGGTTTGGGTCTTGGGAAATGTTCACTTCACATTTTTCTCTCCCTAATCACTATAACTCTTCAGGTTATTTAACAAGTAAAAATTATACGAAAAAGCACTTAAATGTTTATTATGTTTCGTCAAATAAATTATTTTTTAATATAAAATACAATCAATAATTTAAGTACAATTTCTTTTTGGGAAAAATAGTGATGGAGGACTATTAGAAAAAATTTATATTCTATCCATTAAAAAATGTAAGGCATTTTTAATCGAATCTCATCTTTTAATAAAATAGTTACCTACTTTTAAATTAGCATTATTTTTTTATATTTATTCTTATTAAATAATAAATATAAAGTTATTATCAATAGCGATATTTTTGAAAAAAAAGTAATGAATACATCTCGAAAGATTAAAAATGCCTCACATTTTTAACATACAACTCCTCAAAAAATGTGTTATATTTTAAATGGAGGAAGCATCAGTTAAGGATTAGTTGTCAAATTCGAATAGAATGTCTGAATGGATTGTTATTAATTTGAAATAAGTTGTTAAATTTTAAATGAATAATTGTTGATAAAAGACTAACCTCAATTAACAAATATTCATTCGAGTTTTGACAATAAGTAATTTTTAATTAATATAAATTTTTTTCTAGCAGTACTTGATTGATATTTTTTCTTTTTTTTTTTTTAAGTTATGATAAGATGTTTAGAAGTTCCTTATATATAAGACCATGATGAGTATCTTTTCTTCTGTTTCTTCATTCGTTCAAGTTGGCAAAGTATCTAGTAAATTACTATTATATCTTCTACGCGAAGACAATTGCATTTTTCATTCAAAAAAAGGAAAGACCCAACTAGAATCTAGTAATATAAATATGAATCTGACCAATGTGTAAAGCATTATCTTGCAAAAGCATCCTCTACAATATTTCAATATTTCAATTTCTCAATGATGCCTTCTGTATTAATTAATGATATAAATATTATTATAAAAATGTAGTCAATGAGAACATGAGATGAAAGCTTTGCTATTGCTTATTTGTGCAAGGCGGTGATAGTTCTCAAATTTCAAAATATTATTAAAATTAAAAGTAAAATTGAAAATTATTTCATGTTTTCCTAACCCAATATATGGTTTTATTTTTGTCAATGATACGACTTGCACAAAACAGACACAAAAAATCCAAAGCCACAAAATTAAGGATCTCTAAAACATTATTTATAATTAAAAAAATTTCAAAAAAGAATTATAGATTTTGACCGAAAAAAAATATCATGATCCTTGACTAGAATTACAATATTTTTTATGTAATTTTTTGGGCACTCATTTCTCCCATTTTTAATACTCGTCTTTTACTTTCTTAGTACTCATTTAATTTTCAGTACTTAATTTTTTTTTAGAATTTTAAATGTTTCCAGTACACATATTTCATGGTTTCAATATTAAATAAATAAATGTAAGTGTTTCCAGTATTGAAAACATATAAATTAGTATTGAAAAATTGAAAAAAAAAATCGAGCACTAAAAATACTAGTTATGAGCATTTACATTAAAAATGTGGTAGATGAATGTTTAAAGTATAAAATATGAATGCACAAAAAATAGGTCAGAAAAATTTTAATTCAAGTTAAGAATTATAGTTCTTCATTAAAATTTATAATTGCACGGTTTTTAACTGTAATTAATATTTTTGAAAGATCCTTAAATGTCGTTTTCTCCCAAAAGTACTTAGCGCGTGTTTGGATAAATACGTAACTGAGGTTTGGATGGCCAAAACCTCAATTGAGGTGTCAAAAGCTCATTATAAAAATTTTATTCTTGTTTGGCTATAAAATTTGTAAAGAGCATTGAGAAAAAAACGAGCGTTAGAATTGAAGTCACAAAATGCAGCTTCTAAAGCAACGTAACGTGGGAAAGTGAAGTTGGTATTCATTATTTGTGGGTTTTCTCTTTCTTGTCCTTACATGATATCTCTTGGCTTCCTTAATCTCTCATCTTACCGTAAAGTATTTGCACAAGGCTTCAGGAAAAAAAAAAAGAAAAAAAAATATGAGGTTATACAAATTGAATCATTAAATCAATTATAATTAAATTAAATGGAATAAAAAATTAATCATAAACAATAATTTTTTTAAGTTAGTAGCAATGTAATTTATTTTTTAAAATCAGTGCAACACATTTATAAAATTTAAAAAAATTTAATATGTCATTTATCTTAGATTTTTTTAATTCTAACTTTTAAAGAATAAAATTGTATAATTTAATTTTACCTTTCTGACAAATTTAATTATAAGTTTAATATTCTTTCCTAAAAATATCATATTAGTTACAAAAATATATACAAAAAAAATTGATGTCTATTTTTATCATTATATATCTCAACTGATTTTTAAATCAAATCATTCAAATAAATTTTAGTTCATTTAACTGACTTTTAAAAAAAGATATCCAAACATAAATCACGTTAAAGTTACAGACATTTCTTTCAATCTCAATTTGCTAACCTCAGTTAATTCTAACCTCAATTTTAAAATTTTTAATCCAAACAACCCCTTACCCATCCCAAGAGACACCTTCTCTTTCATGTTTCAATCGAAGTCCTTATCTGAACGAACGCTCTCTTCTGTGATTTCTTCTCCAATGGCAAGCAAGCAGCTAGTAATGGAAGACGACAACCCCTTTCTTCCCGACGATATCATCATTAACATTCTCAAAAGACTTCCGGTAAAATCCCTAATCCGATTTCAATGCGTGTCCAAAGATTGGAAAAATCTTATCAAGACTCCGTTTTTCATCCAAGACCACCTCCACCACTCCAACCATCAAAACCCTTCCCTTCTCCTCCAACCTGACCGTCCCAGGAATAGTCTTCGTGATATACACGTCGCTGTACTGGGTTGCGAAAAGCGAGTCCTTGATATTCAAGAACCACCTTTGATTGATTCGTCGTTGGATAATGGACTTGTGGTCGTGGGTTCCTGCAATGGCTTGGTTCTTGCTAGAATAGTTGAGCGTGGTACATCTTTTCCCTTGTGGCTAAAGAAAAATGGTTTACCTCCTCCTTCAGTTTCCCTTTTATTATGGAATCCAGCAATTAGAGAGGTCAAGAAGGTGCCCAGAAATATTAATGATTATGACGGTCTTTACCTTTTAGTATTTGGGTTCAGTCCGATTGATAATGATTACAAGATAATGAGAATTACTGTTTGTGAGCTTCATTTTGTGGTTAATTCAGTGGAGGTGTATTCATTAAACTCTGGGTCATGGAAGAAGGTAGGATTTGGAAATCTAGAGGGTGTAGGTTTTGGTAACCTGCGTAATGTAACTGTTAATGGGGTTATGTTTTTTGTTGGTAGAAAGGATGATTTTAATGATCAGGTAGTATCATTTGACCTGACAAATGAAGTGTTCACATTGATACCAATGCCTGATTTAGGTTGTGCTTATATCAGAAGGCTTACTGTGTATGAGAACAAAATTGGTGTGATTGCTGACTCTGTTGGAAAGGATAAATCTCATTTCATTCGTTTGTGGGTGATGGAGGAGGATACATGTGTGTCAGGGAAGACATGGAATTGGACTAGAATACATGCTAGCAAACACTGTTCTCTGCCTCGCGAGTTAAATCCAATGACTATTTGGAGGAATGAAATTGTGTTCCATCCTCTATATCAGATTGAGAATGATGTTGAAACAAATAAATTTTATCTGCTTAATATTGCTACTGATGAGTTTGAGAAGTTTTCTATCAGCTGCGGCTATATCAGTAAGATTTTTAATTACGTGGAAAGCCTTGTATCAGTCAGCAACATTGATGTTGAAGAACCTTGATTGTAAATTTTAGTTATTACATTGCAGGTCCACTTTCTTTAAACACTTCGGGTGGAAATGAATCCATTATAGTTTACATCATAAGGTCATTATTGTTTATATATAGTTGTTGAGTCCTTTTGGTGAAATTATGTGGAATGATGAATGTGGGTATTCAACTACCAAGTGCTAGTAACTGTATCTGACCTAGTTAGCATTATTAGTCGCTGTTGGATGGTTTATTCCTGGAAGTTTCTTGTTTCTTGTCTTTTTTGAATGATGAATCCATAATAGCAGATTTTCTGTTCCTTGTCCTTCATTTCATATCTCATATTTGTTGTAGTAGTTTTCCACTATGATGTGTGTGATATTTTTCTTGGAGCTTTTTTTGAAGTTCACAATATGAAGTCTCTATTATCTTCTGCTTCCAAGGATGCTTAGAAAAGAACCTTTAATACGTGTTTGTATGAAGAATGAGATTGAAATCTATCAACTTATGTCCTGTGAAAAGGAAATTTTGAAAAGCAGATGTTGTTGGATGAAAATATGGTCAATCTTGTTGAATCCAATTTCCATCCTGACTATGAGACTATGAGCATGAGGAACAAGGAAATAGTTTGGAATTGTATTAGTACTCTACTGAGTAAATATTTTGTTTATAAAATTTCAAAGAGGTACAGCTAATGGAATTTAATACTTTCTATAGTCAATTTGAGATGACTATGATTTTGTGTATATTTGATTTCTTTTTTTTTTTTACCATTATGTTTATAATTGATGGCATGCATAGGTTGTTTTGATATTTTTATGAAAATTATGGTTTTTTATTTATAATTAATATTTAATTTCAGGTCATTTGGTTGTTTGGATATTTTTTAAAAAATTAGTTTGGACTTATAATTGATTTTGAAATGTAATGTATGTAATATGGATGTTTGAATATATATATATATATATATTTGCAAACCAATAATTTTACCTATTTTTCAATTCTACTCTTCTATTACATGCGAAATCAATTTTATAAATCAATTACTACAAAATATATAAGTTATATTTTAAATTAATCATGTAAATTGATTTTATTCAATGTAAATGCAACGAGAGTTGGTTTTGTCCGCTTCTTTTATCAATCGTTAGATTAAAATTTGAAATGTTTTATAAAATATTTTTTAAAACATTTTCTTTACTGCAATTCTTTTAAATTGTGCCAACAAAATTGTAATTGTTGGAATTTAATTATTTTTTAATAATTTAACATTTTACTAATTATTTATAAAACATTACATTGTAACCTTTAAAATTCAATCAGAAGTAGAGCCAAGAAAAATGACTAGGATTGAAGGGTTGCCCTTTTAAATACATTTATATAAACTTGAAAATCATAATAGGCCTTAAAAAATGATTTTTTTTTTAGAAAAGCTGAGCTTTGAAGCCAATTGCTGATAGGGCTTGAAAAAAAAAAGTGTCAACTTGAGCAGTCTTTTTAAATTTGTTTTTGTTTTACCTTAAAAAATAAAATATTTTTATTTTTAAATTGAATTTAAATTTTAGAATATATGTTTGTACTTTAATATTAAAATTTATATTAATTATTTTAATTTTTGAACAATATAATTTGTATTTAAAAAATATGAAATACTATGATTAAAAATTTTAATTTTAAAAATTCAAAAAAAAGGGCTTATAGGCTTGATCTTAAGCCCTTTGAACAAGATTGGTTTCAAAAAATGATCAATTTTAGGATAATTGAGTTTATGGGCTTGAACCCATAATAGGCCCCGCCATCCTTTCCCAACCTTAATGAAAAGCAGTTGCAAGTTAAATTTATAAGAGTTAATGAGTAAATAAGACCTTGAACTCTTACTCGAAAATCGCTCTGGACCTGAACTCTTGAAATATGCAAAATAAATCATAAACTTTTAAATTTATAATAAAGTAAACCTTAACTGTTAATTTTTTTTAACATCATTAATTCATTATTGTCCACACAAGTATTATAACAATCAGAGTTAAATTTATAGGAAAATAAACCCTGAATAGTACTATGTGGATAGTAATGATGTTAAAAAGTTAATGATCAAGGTTTATTTTGCTATGAATTTAAAAGTTTAGGGTTTATTTTGTATATTTTAAGAGTTCAAAATTTAGGGTGATTTTCGAGCAATAGTTCAAGTTTCTGCCTTATGTCTTTGAACCCTTCTAGTCATCAGAAATGAGCTCCGGATAGATTGTCGGATTCTGGAGGTGAAGATGTTTGGAAAAACATGAAGGGTATAGAAGTAAATGCTACTGCTCCCACCACTAAGAAGGTCGATGTTGTCATAACTAATAAGGAAATCCATGTTAACAACTCATCAATTTCTCAACCACAAAATGAGAACGTCAATTCCACACCCATGGGTGTTAAACCACCTATGTCTTATAAAGCTTCACCATTAGGTTACAATGGTGTTGTAGATAGGGACGAAATAATAGACGAGGCAGACAAGTTTGATGAGGAGAAAGAAATTCCTTAGGAACTCCTTAAACCAACTGAGGATGTTAAACGCTTAATAAAGCTTCATCCGTAGTTCCTATCACCCCAATCGAGTTCAAAGAATGGTGCAAGCCTTAAAGGTACGCTCTGGTTCTAACTGTGCTAGGGAAAATGATGGACGTCTTAAAGCTTTTCTCTCATTTGTGGAATATTTTGAAATTTGAACTCATTGACTATATGAAAAATAATTTTCCCTAACTGTGCTAGGGAAAATGAAGGCTTAGGTTTAGTTTTCTTTAATTGTGGATGCTTTGGACATCACAAGGAAATTTGTCCATGGAGATATAGTTTAAACAAGACTACATTATTGGAAAACACTGATAAGCAATATGTTGTTACAACACTAACTATGGAATGGTAGATCTTGCTAATGTCCAAGGATGGGCATGGACCTTGGAATATGGTTCCACACATTACAAAAGGCCAGCTCCTAAGATGGGATTACAATAAATCCCTCAATCTAATAGGAGGAGATACTCGAAAGGTTTTTATAAACAGGTAAATCATGTTATAGTCTTTAGGTATGTGGTGTTGGCAGTTGATGAGGAGGAAAATATGTCCTTAGAGAATGCGTGTTTCATCACCAATAAGGAGACTATGATCCCAAGTATAAGAGATATTTCCTCCACAAAAAATGATAAGCAAAGGTTAAAGGGAAAAAGGGCCTCATTTACAAAGATACATATGAAAGGACTAGGGCAATGCAAAATTGCTTTGTATAGAGGCAAGAAGAATGTCAAACCTTTAGAGGTAATAGCAAGCAAGGCTAAGAAAATAAGCCAGGCCAACATTCTTATATTGTTATGTCAAATAATGTTTCTCAAGTCAATCTTAGTGGTAAGAAGTATGATCCCAAGAATAAAGAAACCAAAAATAGTACATCTAGTAGCCTAACTAATTATGATGATAAAAGTCCGCCCTTAGTTCAAGAAGCACCCCTTATCATTATCCAAGCTTCATCCCTAATAGGTGAACCTCCTGAATCACTAGATGAGCAGGGGATGGGTATGGAGGAGAATAGCGATGATAGAATAGAGGATGACATGAATTTGGCGATCATGCCTATAGGAAGAATTAACCTAGATTTTAAAGATGATGATATGGTCAAATAAGTCCTTCTCTTATCACTTTTTTTTACAGGTTTATCCATGATTACAACCTTTTGGAATTGTAAAGGTGTGGGGGTAAAGCTTTTCTCGTGCACTTTAAAGACATTTCTAGAAAGTATAAGACTAATTGTTTTTGTCTAAGTAAGCCAAGAATTAGTAGTGTTATGGTGGACAGGTTATTAAAAAATTAAGTTTTTCAAACTACTTAGAGTTAAAGCCACTAGTTTTATTGGAGGTATTTAGATTTTATGGAATAGCTCAAATTTTACTATTAATTACATATGCTCTAATGTCCAGTTAATCTATTGTTGTGTGGTGGATGGCAAAAATAATTTCATCAAATTTATCACCTTTGTTTTAGGGAAACTTCATTATATAGTCAAAACCTTCTTTAGGATTCTCTTTCAACCATTGCATCTCATACTGTAGATCCTTGAATTGTTTGTGGAGACTATAATACTTAGCTTACCCCAGACGACAAAAAAAGGGGAGCTAAACCCAATTGGAGAGGTACTTATTATAGGTAATCATTTTACTTGGGAACGACAGCATATTAAAGAACGTATTGATTGGGTGTTTTACAATGCAAGCTGTTTTGAAAATTTTGCTAGTCTTAAAGCTGCGGTCATCTTAAATTCAAATATGATCATTGTTTGTTTGTTGTCTTTGACTGTGCCTCTCTTAACTAGAGAAGAAACAAAAACTCCTTTAAGTTCCATGCTACTTGGCTATTAAAGGAGGGATTAAATGAAGTTTTAATGATGTTTGGAATTGAAAATATTTGATTGATAGAATCCCTACCTTTAAAGATAACATTACTATATGGAATACTCATCATGTTGCAAACTTACTTTAAGAAGGAAGAGTTTGCTTAAAAGATTGGATGCCATTGACAATGCTAGATTTGCAAATAATAGAAATGGGCTTTGGAAAATTGAGCAAGATCTTTGGAAGGAATGCCATAAACTTGCGACACAAGAAGAATTATTATGGTAGCAAAAATCTAGATGCCATTGGCTTGAATAGGGTGATAAAAATTCTAGGTATTTTCATGCTTTTATAGCCATCAAGCATAGTGAAAAAACATTAAATCTCTAAATAATGATCAAGAAGAATGGATTGATGATCAACATACTCTTAAAACTATGGCCCATTATTTCTTCTCTCAATTCTACTCGAGAGATGGTGATATAGCTCAAAATCCTCACATGCTTGCAAACTTTTTATCTTTATCTCAAAGTGACTTATTGAAGATTCAAAGAAAAGTTTCTGACATTGAGGTTAAAAATGTTGCTTTTTCTAAAGGGGCTTTTAAAAGCTCCAAGATTGAATGGATTATAAGCTCAATTTTTTCATAGTCAATGGCAAAATAT